TCAGAAGCTGGGAGAGAAGGCTGAACTAAATCATTCCTTAACAACTTTAGAGGCACTAGGGGCGTGAGGATAGCATGATGTTGAACTTCTGGCTTCTAGAAACTATCATAGAGTAAATTTCTTTCCTTTTTTCAGGATACATATTTTATATTCCTTTGCTATGACAGCCCTAGCAAAATAATACAGACAATGAAAACCATCAAATCAAGTTTGGTCCCTTAAGAAATAGTGATAAAAGTGGAGTGGGGCAGGCAAGAAAGTTCATCTGCAGATATGCAATGTCTCTCAGCCATTGCCCAAGAAATGAAGATACAGATGAATGCTGGTGTCTGTGAGAATGATTTTTAAATGGGCTCAATTTTTTTTTCTGGAACTTGAAGCCCTTCAAGTGTTCCACAGTGTGGTTCAATGTTGAAATAAACTGAGACCAGGATAGTGGTATGAGCAAAGTGCATAGTGTATATGGGGAACATATAGAATGGGAGTAAGGAGTAAGGAAATTAGTCTTATTCACATTGAACAATCAATGAGGGTAAGGAAGTCAGGGCTATTTATACTGAGTAGAAAGTAGCAATAAAGTTTGATAGAGATAAAGGAGCCAGAGTGAAGAGGAATCTGGGGTTGTTGCCATGTCCTTCTGAATTCTGAGAGACTCTTGTTGCTAGGAAGCTCAATCTAGAACTCAATCAAATGAGAGACAATTGAAGGGGAGGGGATTCATATTTCTCTTTGTCGTGAGAGTTCTCTAGAAAGTCTTTGTTGGTGGGTGTCAGAAATGAGACACGAAGGGGGATATACCTAGAAATAATTATGGGAATCATCACTTCATCTGTAGGTAAGTCATTCAAGAGTTTAGTTTTGAAGAAGAGAAACTCAAGTAATGAGGACATGAATGAACACAAACCCTTAGACACACAGCTCAATAAAACCATGATTTCTTGCCAGTTATTCTGATCTTTTTAAAAATATTTTTTTAGTTGTAGAAGAACACAATATTTTTATTTTATTTATTTTTATGTGGTGCTGAGGGTTGAACCCAGTGCTTCACACATGCCAGGTAAGCACTCTACCGCCAAGCTACATCACCAGCCTACTTATTCAGATCTTGGAGAAGATTATGCACTTTACCATTTCCTATTCTACTTTATTTGGTGGGAACCCTGTAAACCATTTTTAATGTGTTGTTATTCAAGATTGAAAACATGGAATTAGACTATAAATAAGAGTGAGGTGTAGGTAGTAATTAGAATATAAGAATGATGGGTTTGATGAAGCTTTGGCTTATGACAATCAACTATGAGTTCTCTGTACTATTATGAAATTATTCCACTTTATGAATGAAAACATTGTATTCCCTCAGGTCTTTGACATCTGGGGTATCTGTATTAAAAAAATGTAATGAGTGAAAAGATAATCTGGCTCCAATTTTCTTTTGAGTTTGTTTTCCTACTAACTGCTTGGAAGGTGATGTCTTAAGAATACATTCTGATAGATTTATTTTGGTTCACTCTTAACAATGCACACAAGTAATCAATGACAATTTCCATCACAACAAAAATCTACACACCTTCATAATTATTAAATACATCTAAAGACATGGAGAGCAGAGAAGCAGATCAGAATTTTACTCATGATTTGGAGAAGTTGTCCTCAGTGGTATTCTTTACTGATCTTGCTTACTCCTGTGAGCTATTGGCATTTATGAAATTAGCTTCCTCATCTTTCACTTGATTACTTCCCCAAGCAATCACAGGGCTCTTGTCATTTTAAACATGAGGATAGTGCCCAGCTTCAAACAGGTCCCCTACCACCTGTCTGCAATGACAAATAAAAAAAAAATCACCTGATCCTTTATTAAATAGCATTAAATGAAAAATTCTTGGTTTTAGAACTTAAATTACCATCATGGAAATTTGATAATAATAACAACTTGCAAAAACAAAGACAGTATTGATTTTCAGCTGAGGGTCCTACACATTGATGAGGAAATTCAGGGAAAAAAACAGTAAGTTTGGAGACCATGTGGACACAATGCACAGATTTTTAAAATCATGGAAGTATTTAAAATCAATATCTGTTTACCAGTTTGTCCTTTAAGCTGAGCTATCAGGCTATCTTATTCTAGTTCTGTGTGTCCCCCTACATTATCCATCCTCCTAAATAGACTCTGCTATGATTTATTCCCCCAGAAGTATTGGGAGTGTTGGCCACAGTGGTGAATGCAGTAATCTACCTTGGGTTGAGCACATTGGTCAACAGTGGTTGAACCAATGGAGACTAGAGCTGAGGTATGGGGGAGACAGGTCAATGACGGAAGCTTGAAAAGTGGGAAAACATGGAAGGAAACTTATGTGCATCCTCCAAGAAACTGATGAGTAGCTGTTATTTAAGAATAAAGTTATGGCTAACTAATATGTGAGAGTTAAGATGGCCAAGTGTGATGACATGATATAGGACCCAGCTTTCTGTCAATGGCTCAAAACTGTTGAGCACAAGTTGTAACAGTAACAAAAACACATCTGGGAGCTTGTGGGTTGCCCACAAGCTTAACACAGAGCATGGATAAAGTTATTGGTGGGGAAGAAAGCAGCAGTAGGCACCCAACACTTCCTGGCTTTTGCGGGGATTGATCAGGAGGTTGATGAAAGTATGAGAAAGAAGGGTAGATAATGGTGGAAGGAGATGGCTGCTAGTTTTTCAGTTTGGAAGTGGCTTTGCAACCAAAGCAAGTTATGACTGAATATCTGGTCTGTATGACAGAGTGGGGTTATGAGGGGGAAAAAAATCTCCCTTGGTGCACTTCAAATAGTTGACTCAAAAAATGTTGTAAAACTAAGAAAAAGAGTCTTCCATGAAGAACTGATAACAGAGGAGAGACTGCTGTGTTTGGTGAGAGGAAGATTCCATAGTAATAGGAAAATGAGTAGAGAGCGAAAATCTCAAAGAAATGAGAATCAAGATCAAAGAAAAAATGAAGGAGAAATGTGTCCTGGGTCCAGGAGGCAACAGATACTAAATCCAGCTACCTTCGTGTTTGAATTCCTTTTGTGGGAAATGGTATTTGATCAGTGTTTTTTAGATCCCTCATTGCACATTCCACATTCCTCTGCCAGGGCTGTTGCTCTTTCTCCCCTAACCAGTGTGGTGGTTCTTAATGTCATCTCTTTTATGTTATCATTGCTTTAACGATGTCATGAAAACTGTGGATACTCTCATGGGGTCAAGAAAAACAGGCATGTTATATGGAAACTATTGAATGCAATTTAACAGATTCTTAAAGTATATCTTTGCTGCAAACACTGTAAATTTATGTTCCACACCATTAACCTATATCATCCTTTGATGTTTCCCAGGTGTGCTGCACAGTATCTGCATATTCTGCAGCATCATTCCTACTTTGCTTGATAACAAAGCAACAAATCAGTATTATCAGCCAGGAACTGTGCTTTTATCAGATTTCTCATTTACACTCATTCATCATAAGATATTTGTACTCTCAAAATGATTGTTTAATCTATACTTCTGTATTTTATGTCATTTCTGAGACAAATCATGGGAAAGTTAATCTTGGAGCTGGTTTCTTCGGCATCCTAAAATGCCAGGGATTTTTAAAATTAAATTATTTATTTATTCTAATTTGCTATATATGATGGCAGAATGCAATTCATTTTGTATTACACATATAGAGCACAATTTTTCAAGTTACTGATTGTACACAAAGTATTTTCACATTATTTGTGTCTTCCTACATGTACTTGGGGTAATGATATCTAACTCATTCCACCATCATTTCTACCCCTTTTTCCCCTTCTTACTCCTCTCCCCTCTTTACCCTATGTAAAGTTCCTCCATTTCTCCCATGCTACCCACCCCCATTGCCATTATGAGTCAGCATCCTTACATAAAAGAAAACATTCAGCCTTTGATTTGGGGGGATAATGCCAGGGATATTGATGCCTATGCTCGGTACAACATCACCTGCACTGAAGTTTTCCTCCATCCTTCCAGAGTTCATTGATTCCCTTTTCATTTCTGAAGGCACTTTATTTTGCTTTTAGTACCCTCTCTTTTCCAACTGTTACACTTCCAGCTTGTTTGATCTCCTTTTCTTATCATAGGGCCAGAGAAATTGATAAATATTATTTTTGGAATGAGTATAATCACATATAAACACCTTTGAGTAACATCTATCAACCCAAGGTATTCCCCCTTCCATTTCCACTTTTGCTTGCTTTAATGCCTGAAAGTATTCATTATAAGCAGATTCTAATACTTTTGAAGGACAATTGATGTTTTGACATTGAAATCCTACAGGATTGGAGGAAAAGAGGAGAAGTCATAATTAGTTGCATGGAAATCTATATTAAGGACCATGAAGAAAAATAATGTATGTGAGAATTGATTTACATGTCTCTGCTGAGTAATGTGTCTAAAAAATCACTTGAAATAGAAAGGGATGCCTATTGTTATTTATTCCAAGTAAATTTGTATAAGTTGAGATTCCATCATCAAAACAAGGCATACAACTTTCCTTTTCATTTAGATTCTGTTTTAAATATTCATTGTGAAGATATTCCCATTTGTACATGTATTTAAGAATGATATTATGAACCCACATATCCTTAAACCCAAATGTCCTTCATCCATGTGTGGCAAGTTTCAACCAGTAGCCATTTTTCATTCTTTCAACACTCACAGTCTGACCCTACCTCACCAAAATTAAAAAGCAAATCCAATGCACTATATGGAGTCATGCTCTAACCAAACACTAATGCATTTTAGCCCATATACTGCTGTTCTCCTCCACCTAAGACAGTTCATAATTTAGCCACCCCATCTCTGCCCTTTTCATTTTTTTTTTTTAGTTGTGTTGCTCTGATGGATTGACTCTGCCAGAAGACATCCTATTAAAGGTCAATGCTGCTTGCAACCAAGTCACAGGGAGGTGACAGGACAACAGCACCTCCTGCCCTGCCCTTTCGCCTGCCTCATTGTCCATGATGGTTGTGGGTGAGGCCCTGGTGCATATGAGGATCACTGTCCTGCAGCTGTGCATGGGAATCTTGCTCTTCCTTTCTGGATGGGCCCAGATTGGACACTCTCAACACCATAGCCTCCCAGAAGTAGTGATACCCTTGAGGATAACTGGCACCCATAGAGGATTGAGACCCCCTGACTGGATCTCCTACAGTCTTCACTTTGGAGGCAAGAAACACATTGTYCACATGAAGGCCAAGAAACTTCTGGTGTCCAAATCCTTCTCTGTGTTCACCTACACAAAGCAGGGTGCTCTGCTCGAGGACCACCCTTTTGTCCAGAGTGACTGCTACTATGATGGCTATGTGGAAGGGGACCCAGAATCCCTGGTTGCTCTTAGCACCTGTTTGGGGGGCTTTCGAGGAACACTAGAGATCCATGACAATGTTTATGAAATCAAACCCAAAAGACTTTCTACCACATTTGAACATCTGCTTTATAAGAAGGACAGAGAGAAGACACAATTCCCACCCATGAGATGTGGACTAACAGAAGAAGAACTAGCACGACAACTGAAGCTCCAAAGGAGTAATAATTCCATTCTGAGACAAAGTGGTTATGAAGGCTGGTGGACCCACACATGGTATCTTGAAGCAGTTTTTGTTGTAGATTATGAGCAATACCTTTATAAGAAAAGTAATATCTCACTTATTACACAGGAAATATTTGTCATTGGCAATACAGTACATTCCCTTTTAAAAAAATTGGATGTTGAATTGATTTTACTTGGATTTGAGGTCTGGAATGAAAGGAACCTTGTCAGTGTGACTGATAACATATCTAAACTCCTGGATGATTTTTGCTATTGGAGGAAAACCAGCTTTCAATCTCGCATAAAAACTGATGTTGTACATTTATTGGCAAGACAAGATTTTCATATATATCTTGGCTTATCTTATGTTGGAACTGTATGTGAATCTTACTTGGGATGTGCAGTGAATCGTGTCCTGGATGATAAACCATTGGAAATGTCACTTTCCATAGCACATGAGATTGGACACAATCTGGGTATGTACCATGATGCAGTAATATGTACATGCGGGCAACCCCGTTGTATAATGTCCAGAGAACCACCATATGGCTCAAAATTCAGCAACTGCAGTTATGCTTATATGTGGGAAAACTTTCCATCTATGAACTGTTTGCGAACTGCACCGAAACAAGTGGCCCACCCCAGAGGGACTATCTGTGGGAATGGTGTGGTTGAAGAAGGAGAGGAGTGTGACTGTGGACCCCCAAATTTGTGTTCAAACCATCCATGTTGTTCAGAAAGTTGCACTCTGAAAAATGGGGCTGAATGTGCCTCTGGGCTTTGTTGTGAAGACTGCTATCTCTTGCCACAAGGTAGAGAGTGTAGAGAAAATGTCAGTGAGTGTGATCTTCCAGAGTGGTGCAATGGCACCTCACCTGAGTGTCCAGAGGATGTGTATGTGCAGGATGGGCTCCAATGCAGGGACAGTGGCTACTGCCATGAGAAGAGATGCAATGTACGTGATGAACAGTGCAGACAGATATTTGGCAAAGAATCCAGGAGTGCACAGAAGAGTTGCTACACGGAAGTGAACCGCCGAGGTGACCGCTTTGGTAACTGTGGTCTCAGTGATGACCACTATGTTATGTGTAATAAGTCAGATTTCCTCTGTGGAAGAGTTCAGTGTGAGAATGTGAAAGAAATTCCTACTTTGACAGGTCACTCTACAGTGCATCGGATGGACTTCAATGGTGTGACCTGCTGGGGTACCGACTATCATTTTGGGATGACCATACCAGATATTGGTGCTGTGAAAGATGGCACAGAGTGTGGTGATGGACTTGTGTGCATTCGCCGGAAGTGTGTCTCTAAATTTTTGTTGACATTTAATGCAAAATGTTCAGCAAAGAACTGTGCTATGAAAGGGATCTGCAACAACAAACATCACTGCCATTGTGACCCTTACTGGGGTCCCCCCAACTGCACAGAAAAAGGCCATGGAGGGAGTGTTGACAGTGGCCCACCACCTCCTGAACCACCCACTCTACCAGCCCCTGAATCAATCACTACACCACCCCCTACACCAACCCCTACACCAACCCCTGCACCATCCAATGCACCAACCCCTGCACCATCCAATGCACCAACCCCTGCACCACCCAGTGCACCAACCTCTGCACCACCCAATGCACCAACCCCTTTTCCACCCAATGCACCAACCCCTGCACCACCCAATGCACCAACCCCTGTACCACCCAATGCACCAACCCCTGCACCACCCAATGAAATAACCCCTGCACCACCCAATGAAACAACTCCTGCACCACCCCCTGAAAAAATGGCAACGAAGTATTTCCCTGCACCACTTATTTTTTTATTTCCAYTTGGTCTTATGCTTTTGATTTTGTTACTTTTGTTTTGTAAGAAAAAACGATAAGCAATGCCTAAAAAGAGGAAAATGTACAACCTTCACCTGAGATGAAATAGCTGAGTGTTCAAACTTACTCTTCACCTGACAAAGATGAGCACATTATTTAAATTTTAACTGAGACAGAAGAGCAAAAGTTTTGCATTTTCAGAAAAGAATCCCAATCCTCAATGAAATTTCCCATGCATTAACATTTATTATCCTGGCAGTAGAAATGTTATTGCCGATGTTAGAAACCACCGACAGAAAGGTCCAGAAATCATTGCTTCAGGATCAGAAACATTCACCATTTAATAAATGTAATTCCTAGAACATTCCTACTTTTCATTATTTCAAGAAATTTTAGTGATTTGTTGGTTATTTCTTTATGTTTTCAGCAGTAGGGGGGGAGTAAATTCAGAGCCTAGCACTCATTAGGCAAGCATTCTACTACAAACTTCACCCCACCTCRTGGTTTATTTTTCATGGAAATAGTTCTTTGTATTTCTTCAGCAAAGACCTACTGCATGGATGGATCATGTGTCTGTGTGTGTGTCTGTGTGTGTGTGTGTGTGTGTACTCCCCATCTCTCAAATCGAAACCATCTTCCTTTTTCACTCTGCTGTGTCACAGGGAGAGAGGAAACTCAGAAATCACACCTCTTTGCAGTCCTTAGCAGTTTCTGTCCTTGGGGGAGCCACAGGGAGATTGGATACCTGTGGGAACTGCTTGAAGTTTGCATCAGCACCACCTCACTTAGAGTTTTCATCTAAAAATCAGCTGCAGTAGTTTTCAGTCTGCACATTATTCCTATGTATATTTAGGAACTTCCAGAAGCAAAAGTATCATCAGCTACCAAACAACTTATCCTCAGAGCCCTGGGTCCTGGTTCTCTGAGGCCTCTGCCAGATTCCAGAGGTTCCAGCACCAACTTGGCTATACCTGTCCTCAGAGGTTGGGGCCCTAGAATCATAGAACCTATTCCCAAGATCTGGGCTTGAAGATCTGACCTCTTCCCATTGATCTCCAGTCCTCATGGTGACAGCTATGCCTTCTACTTAGTAACTTGTGGTTATCTCAGGAGTGTGGTTTCTTGTTTTGTGACTGAATTCTGAGGGCTATAAAACTTACCTTGGTATGATGGAGAACACAGGAAGGAGTCAGACATCAGAGATTTTTTTTTAACCACTGCCCTTTACCCCCTTGGGGAAAAGATTTAAACTTGGGGAGAATGTCTTTGTAATCTCTAAACAAGACAATAGCAGTTGCCACACAACTCCTTTGCGTCTTTGATTACAAAATAGGATGAAGAAGTTATTTACAATTTTTGTATGTAGGATGKAATAAGTCTTGGCAAATTTTGTTTTCTCTGGGGAAAAAGACCTAGAGGTCTCCAATGAAACCTTCAAAACCATACTTTGAGGTCATCAGAGAGCTGGGGAGGCAAGGAGAACTCAATGAACTAAATTTTCCAACTGGAACACAATTGTGAAGTGAGTTGAGTATCAACAGGTGTCTTTTCTCTGGAGAACTAGTGAATGCTGGATATGAATTGAGGAGGAGGTTTGGCCTCATTGGAAGACAGGAACTCTGCTGAGAAGCAGATGAACTCCAGTCCTCTTAGTTACTTCCCAGGCCTGCATTCATAAAGTAGACATTTGGGGGACTTCCACTGGTAATCATTTTCCCCAAAGTCTCTTCTGCATTGTGAGATGTTGGTGAGCTACTCTGAAATTTCTAAAAGGCATATTTTCCTAAATCCATGTTACATTTTGTACACAAGACACAGTAAAGTGGCTTGTCTCAAGCACATTCAGTTTTTCCATTAAGACATTTAATTGGATTCTGACCTTTCATTTTGCAAAAGGCTGAAGAAGTAGACTGTGAACATTTGGATGGTAGAGATTGATCCCCATAATCCTTCAAAGCTGAGCAGTTAGTGTCATGTACACTCCCAAGTGAAAGTGGAGCAGGCCCATATCTGAGTAGTGCTCTATAAGTAAAGATTAGTCCAAGATTTATTGAAAGCCTGTCACCTCTGGCCTAACTTAATCCATGATTGATTTAAGTAACTAGCTCCTTAGTCCATCTTCCCAACACAGGAAATGATAACTCTGTAGTGGAGCCACTTGGTGATTCAATGCACAATTACCAGCTTACAACAAAATAGTTCTATACCTGCTGTTATGGTTCAAATGTCTGTTCTAAAACTCATGTTGAAACTTCATTGTCACTATTATAGTATTGGGAGGTGAGTCTTTCTGAGGTGTTTAGGCAGGACCATCAAGACAGATTAAAGCCTTCATTATGGGAGTGGTACAGTTATCACAGGATTGCCTTTCTCATAAAAGCCATCTCCTTCTCTCTATGCATTCTCTCTGTCCTTTCCATCTGACATCATGGATTGACCCACCAGGAAGGCCTCATCACATGCAGCCTTCAATCCACAATTTCACAGCTTCCTGAACCATGAGCAATAAACTTATTTTCTCTATAAATTATCCATTGTGTAGTATTCTGTCATAGCAGTAGAAAACAGGCTGAAATGCATGTTAAAAGAAAAAAAAACCTTACTGTTATTAAGGAGTTTTTAAAAAGGAATGAATAAAGAGAAGAGCAGACTCGAGTCTTGGTCTTTTGGATAAGATCAAATGTAGTGTGATTCAGATAGCAGAGCCAGAGTATATGAGTTTATTACTATGATTAATATATCTTAAAATAGGAGAATATGTACAAAATATAAAAAAGAATCTATAATATCCTCAGTGAATTAGAAATTATCTAATTGATATTTAGAACTAAAAATTATAAACATAGTAAGAACTCAGTGAATGGGTTAAACAGTTGATTGGACAGTCAATATATAGAATAACTTAACTGGAAGACACAGTTTTTCTGTAATCAATATAGTTTTCAACATGAGAATAACTAACTTACTCTGAGGAGGAAAGCATTAATCCCTCTTAAAGGTTCTTTAGCTTAACACTGGATGTTCCTAACTAAACTTACATAACACAAATCTTTGGAGAGTAAACCATATCCACACTCACAGCACTTAGATTAGTCTTGTCAGACAGTTAAATCTAATGCTTTAATCTAATGCTTTCATCAGAATATTTATCTCTACCTTGTGAATTAAGAGTTTTTTTAAAATTTTTGTATCTTTTAGCTGATACTTAAAACATTGCATATATTAATGGAGTACCATTTAATGTTTCAACACATGAGTATAATGCATAACATTTAAATCATTTAATCTACTCCACTGCATAATGTTTAAATCAGTTAAATATATTTATACTCTCAAATTTTTATTTTTCTTTATGTTGAAAACTTTTATAATTCTTTCTTCAATATTTTTAAAATATATAGTATATTTTGTTATCTTAGTCATTCTATTATGCAACAACATAGCAGAAGTACTTCCTCCTATCCAACAGTAACTTAGTGTACGCATTGATAAGTTTTCTCCATTTGTTCTTCTTCCTCCCCTCTCATCCTCTGTAACTCCATTCACTCTAAACTTGTATAAGATCATCTTTTTATAGTCCATATATGAGTGAGATCATGTGGTATTTTTCTAAAATTAAGAGATTTAAAATTTTAAATTGTATTTAGAATTGAATAGATTGGTGGAAGTATGAAGTGATATAAGAGTAAAACCTTAGTAATTTAATTTGTACACAATCTTTTCCCTTACTTATGTATGTCTTCACAATGTCTTGGAGAAGTTAAATAAGCATTAGTATTCCCACTGTCTGGAAAAAAAAGGAAAACACATTGATTTAATCAAGGAATGTTTTGCTCAAAATCAAACATTTAGTTAAGTTAGGAACCAGTAAGATTAATTTGGGCTTTTTACTGCATATCTGTATACAACTTTCTTTTTATTTCATAATTTCTTCCCCCCAATTAAATTTTAGAGAAGATTAAAATGAAAACAGAACATATCTGCAATGCTCTCTAGGGCGGCATCCCACTCAGGGTCAGCACCACTGTAAGTATTATAAGAGGTCTCCTATTCTCTCTTTCTCTGTGTCCCTCTCCCTTTCCAGGTAAAAGAGAAAAGGAAAAGCTTCCTCTAAAGCTTCTGAAAAAAAATGCACAATATCTCCACGCAGTGTAGTTTGATTTAGTACTTGATAGTGGGGTTCAATCCACATCGAGTGGGTAGTTACAACTCTTCTCTATGTTGAGGAAAAGCCCCAGATGTTTTCCTTCTGACTAAGCATGCACTGACTTGTTACAAAGATGCTGGTGGACCAGACCACACTTATCACTAACTAAGACTGCATTTTTGTCTGGGATTCAGAAGGAAAAAAAAAAAAAGTGACCGCTTAATTTGCCAAAGGGCATCAATTCATACCAATCCAAATTTAAAAGTAAAACAGGTGGGAACTTTTAAAACATATTATCTGAAGCATTCATTGCCTGAGGACATTAGGACACATTACAAACTCACATTTCCAAGGATGGATTCTGTCTAAGTCAGTTAAATATAAATATAAATATATCTAAGACAGTTAAATATATCGAAGTCATGCAGAGTAAGGAATTGACTCTCCCGTTTCCTTTCTCCTCGGTACCAGACAGTAATGGACATTTTTACCGTTCGATCTCAAAGAATTAAATTTTCTAATGAGGCCACAGGGAAGCACTGGAAGGTGTTAGACAGTAATATTTTCCACATGAATATTTCAAGAACCAAGTTTCACAATCTGGAATTCACAGCACTATGTAAGAAGTTTTTGCTAAGGGGAAATTGGAACTTAGGTTTTTTGGTTTTTTTTCTTTTCCAAACTTGGGCTAAAACTTTCCTATGAGTAATTCTATTATGGCTAACTTTATGAATATATGATATAACTGGTGTGTCATGAAAAGATTCCCATTCAGTAACTTAACAGTTTCAAACCTCCTATCATTTTATCTTGTGGCTTCATTTCTTTAGGACTTAGAGTTTTCTTAATCATGTAACTTTACTGCTAGCACTTAGAATTGAAATGGTTTCCTTGAATTTCCCATCTAGGAGGTTTCACTTCATTTTGATGCTGATGCTAAGCCAGTGTCCCTTGAGAATAAGCAAGGGACTTGAAACAAGCGTGGCTTCAAAGGCAGCCAGAAAGAGGTCTCAGAGGTTCATGACAGGGAATTGAGAAAGGATTTGAGTTCGGCTCCTATGAAGAGATAATTCTACTTCCATGTAGGACTTCTTCTAGCTCCAACTGTTGAGACTCAAGTATCTCTTTCTCATTTGGTTGAGAGTAAGACACTCTTCTTCATAGAGGTATACATGGAGACACATTCTTAAAATGGAAGACAACTGACTTTAACATGTAGGATTGCAACCTCCTATGATATCACACAACTTAGGCTAAGAAAAAATGTTGTGAAGTCAGCAGTAAGGTAGCTTGAGAAAGCAACCACATTCCCTGTTATAACATATTTACATTGTCTCTTCTCTGTTGTTTTGTCACAGCTATCAAATTCACAGAAGGCCAGTGGTTAGAAATGAAAAAGCATCAGAGCTGGAAGTATAGTAGAGTAAGGTAGACCAGCTGTCCCAGTTATCTCAGGATTGAGGGGAATGATTAGTCAACTAGATAAGCAGCAATTTAAATGAACACTGACTTCTGTTTCACATGGGTTGGTCTCTTCATTGAAATGGTTTACTCAGGACAATATTTCCTTAGAGAAAAGGTCACATAGTGCCATTGTACAAAAATCTTATGTTTGGTGCACAGGTTTAGAATCTGGTCAGTAGCAGAACAAAGTAGGTAGGACTGACTGGCAACATTAATATCCCCTTTATTTTCTAGCTTCATAGGGCAGAGAAGTCCTTCTGAAGGTAATTGAATGCATGGAGGCAAATGATATGTGGAGAACCAATCCATATCAGAGCACAATATTTCACCCCAGACAAATTGGTCTACCCATTTTATCCCAAGCCTATTCAGGGCTTCTTCACTTCCTCTTCCCCAGAATGCTTTTCTCTTTCTTTCCTAGCTGCAGACAAGGATGTTTTAAAACTCTACTTCTTCAGAAAAGGCATTCCCAACCACCTCCTATTTAAAGCTCTCTCTCTCACAGGAATAAATTTTTTCTTTTGGAATTTGTCTACCGGTTTTATTTATAATTGATTTTCAATGCCTTATATTCTCTTGTTAGTCAGCTTTGCATCTTTGAGACCAAAATAAATACTTGACAAGAATAACTTAAGAGAAAGAGTTTATTTTGAACTCAGAGTTTCAGAGGTCTTGGTCCATGGCTGACCAATTCCATTGGTCTGGGTCTGGGGTGATTCAAAACATCATGGTGGAAGGGTATGGCAAAACAAAACAACAACAACAAMAAAAAACAATTTCTCAGCTCATAGTAATCTGAAAGCAGAAAAAGGGTAGAAGGAGCCATGGACTGATATGGTTTAGGATATGCCCCCAGTAACCAATTTCCTTCAGCCACGCCATACCTACCTACAATTACCATCCAGTGGTCCATTCAAATCATGAATCCGTCAAGTGGATTAATCCACTGATGAGATTATGGTTTTCATATCTTATCATTTCACTGATGAACATTCATATATTGTCTAACACAAGAGCTTTTCAGGGACATTAAAATCCAAACCATAACATCTCCTCAAGTGGGCTGTGTAGAAACCCAGGTTGTGAAGTGCCGCAGTGTGTCTGGGCACAAAACAACCGAGCCACCACAAAGCCTTGTAGGTTCAAACAGCAACTCCTTATTCCCGAACTCTCACGGGTACTCTACACACACTTCCCAGAACACACTCCCTCCACCAGGCTCCGTGTGCCAATTCTCCTGGAACCCCTTGCGAACTCAACAGGAACTCCAAAGTAGCGGGCACTGGAGGCATCAGGATCTGCCCTAATCCCCTGGAGCCGCCCTATTCCCACCCCAGGATCCGCCCTAATCCGGGAGCAGGATCACCTTTCAACCATTCCCTCTAGCAAAATGCCAGGCGTCATTCCGACTAAACTGTGGCTCTCAACAGTGAAGTAGGGATATTTCTCTTTGAAAATTTTCTCTGTTCTTGTATAGTGCCTAGCCCAGGTTTGTACATTGTCTAAACCAGATTGTAATAGAAATATAAAGTAAGCCACATTTGCAACTCATTGAAAAAAGTACAAATAAATAAGTTAAATCAATTCTAATCATATCTAATCTTACTTAGCTCCATATATCCAAATAATTATTTCAACAAGTACTCGGGTGAAAAAATATTGAAGTTTTTTTTTACATGATTTTTATTGTACTGTCTTTGAAATACAACATTTATTTTGCACATCAATGAATCTCAATTAGGACTAGCCATACTCAAATAAATGCTCAAGAGCCACATATGGCAGAGGCTACTATGTGGATGATATAGGTCTAAATGGTAAGCCAAAGAAAATGTACTAAGGTGGATAATGGAGACTTTCTATGACTTAGGGAGTTTAGTTGAATTCTATAATCAATTAGAAGATACCATGAGTTTTTGTGAAGATTGAAATAACTTGCGTTAACATAATGAGGGTATAGATTAGGAAGGTGAATTTACAGAAATCAAGGGTTATTTCTGTGTTAAAGAGCTAATGGAGTAATAGTAGCAGAAGTGTGTGGTTGGGGGGAATATAAAAAAGTAAAAGAAAGAGTAAACAATAATTCTAAGGCATTAAGCCTGAAGTGTCAGGAGAATAGGAAGAAAGAAGGAAATAGGAGGAAGATAGCATAAGTAAGTAAGGACCTTGTTTTAGCCATCTAGTTTTTGCAAGTTTATCTCATCAGAGACACAATTTGGAGCAAAGGTGAGACATGAGGCCTGATAAGGCAACTTTGGGGATCCATGCCATCAAGTTGGTTGAGCCTTAGGAATGGATCTCAGCTAAGATTGTGAAGGTTGATTGTTGAGGGCCACAGCCGAGTTGGGATGACTCATGGCATTTTTGCCAGAAGTAGTGGTTGAGAGGTGACGCTAGCTAGCCATTAAGATGATGACTTTTGAGTTCTGGCGCAGTTCCCGTTGARTTCAGAAATAAAGTTTGTTCCTGCTTCAGTGGCTCCTGATTTGTGCCCGGCCAGACTGCGGCAGTTGATGGAGATAAGAATGATTCAAGAATATAACCTTGGGGAGGGTCAGGACCAGCAACCAGCCAAGTGACAGCAGCTACACGCGCCGGAGGGGAACTTGGACCGGACCCACAAGGACAGGTCCGGCGGAAGGCTGAGGGCTAGGCCCGTCCCCTCCCCCAGTGTCTGCAGGTAGGAGGGGGACTGTGAACACCAGCAGAGCTGGCCCAAAGCCTGCTGAGGGG